ACCGCCATCTACCCCCGAAGCTCCATCATGAGGCCCATCTTTGCCCTCTTCCTCCTCATCCTCAGCGTCGCCGGTCAGGTGAACAACACCAAATCCTGCCCTAGCGAACTGACCAAAGGCTTCGAATTCCCCCACTTGATCATTCCTATCGACTCCGAGGCTCCAGACGTTGCACGCGGCACCTCCTACAACGGCAAAATCACGCCAACAGTCTCCTCTATCTTCAACTTCGATATCCCCAGCGCCCTCAACATCAACCAAACGCTGATCTGCAGCCTCTGGTTCCTTTTCCCCGAACGCAACTACCGTTTCAGCGGCGATGGGTTGGTGAAGTTTAGCCGTCTCGAGGCGCCCGCGACACTTGTTACGTCGTATGCAAATGCACCGGCTGTACAGGAGGAGCTGCAGATCGCGACTCTAGTTCCCGGGCGGAAATATAACGTGACCAGCTTCGAGTGTCCTGCGGGCCAGGCGATTGCATTTCGCTTGGATAATGCGGGTTCGACAGAGTTGGATTACTTTCAGGACTATAATGAGCCGCCGTGAGTTTCTTCCTCCTTTTGCTTCCTTGATTTTCATCTTAACAACGTTTCCCTCTTTCCAGCAAAGTTTGTCATATTTCGTGGTAGTGCTTTTTGTGTGTGAACAGAGATGGACTAATTGAAGGTTACTACCCCTAGAATTGGCCTTTACATCACCAAATGTTGATGAGGGATGAAATCTTGTCTTCGAGGTAGGGGGCTGGGATTTGGCGGACTGTTGTTGCAATGCATGGCCCCCAATTTCTTTCCTCTTTCCTCTTTCCTTCCCATCCCTCTGGGCGAACGATAAAACAAAAAAGGGAAAGGAGAGAGTAGCGTTGTCTTATCTTTCATCTTATCCTGCTGCGTTTTGCTTTTAAATCACTGTACCAAAGGAGGACCTGGTAAAAATGGCACACGAGAAAGGAAGGGGAATAAATCGAAACCAAGGCCTCCGAGACAAACACGTTGAAACTACAAGGGAGAGAAGTTATTTCATCCATGTCAACTCTGCTTAACAATCACAATCACAGTAATGGTAATAGTTAGTTGATACCGGAATTCAATGTTAATGCAGGTGAAGCTGTTCTATGCGTCCATAGCAATTCTTGGTACTTTTGCATCAGCACCCTACAGAACTGAAGGAGTGCTAACAACAGATAAAAAAAAACGAATTACAAACGGTTTTCTTGTAAGGCATTCTAAATCCAGGATCCATCATACAGACACCCACTTGCATACTTGTCATCTTTTAATTC